CATAGTTGCCCAATTAAACAGTGCATTGAGGTTGGCTTGTAAGTTGGAGACATCCTGTAAGGACATTATTCCACTGCAAAGCTTGGTGTCATCTGCAAAGACTGAAATGGGATTTATAATCTCAGACCCTATATTGTTTATAAATATATTAAAAAGTAAGGGTCCCAACACTGAACCTTGGGGTACACTACTAACAACCCTAGACCGTTCAGAATATGAATCATTAACCACTACTCTTTGAATACGATCTTTTAGCCAGTTTTCTATCATTTACATATGGAAAGCCCATAGACTTTACTTTACAAATTAGCCGTGTGTGGGGAACTGTGTCAAATGCTTTTGCAAAATCCAAGTATACCACGTCCACCGCCATCCCTCTGTCCAATGTTTTCCTCACCTCCTCATAAAAAGAAATCAAAATTTATTTGACAACTTCTGTCTTCAATGAATCCATGCTGCCTGTTGCTTAAAATATTTTTTTTCAGCAAGAACTCATCTATGTGGTCTTTTATTAAACTCTCCAGTATTTTTCCAACTATAGAAGTTAAACTAACAGGTCTATAATTACTTGGTAAAGATTTTAACCCCTTTTTAAGTATAGGCACCACATTGGCCTTACGCCAATCCAGTGGTACTATGCCAATCATTAAAGAGTCCATAAAAAATAGAAGCAATGGCTTTGACATGACAGAGCTCAATTCTTTAAGGACCCGTGAGTGTATGCCATCTGGTCCAAGTGCGTTATTCACCTTTATTCTGTTTAAATATTTTTGGATCATATCAATTGTGACCCAATGTGGATCATCTGGAGCTGTGTCAATACCACACCCATTATAGACAAGAGCTCCCTCATGCTCCTTTGTATACACAGAGCTGAAGAAGGTATTTAATAAATGTGCCTTCTCTTTGTCCCCAGTAACCCACTCTAGATTTTTTTGTAAAGGGCCTACATGCTTGGACCGGACCTTTTTACTGTTAATATATTTGAAGAATTTTGGGGGGTTTGTCCTGCTATCGTTTGTAATCTGTCGTTCGTTTTCAATTTTTGCGGCCTTTATTTCCTTTTTTGCATATTCTGTTATATTCTTTGTAATGTTTAAACGATGATAGCATTCCTCCATTTTTATATTTATTAAAAGATCTTTTCTTAATATCTATAGCTTTTTTTTTACTTTGGCCATAAGCCACATAGGTTTGATTTTTAGCCTTTTAAACTTGTTGCCCATGGGAATATATTTTGCAGTGTGTTCACATACAGTCTTTTTGAAGTTTTGCATTTGGCTAGGGTCAGTGTCACTACTGGTAGCATGATGCATTACCTGGACCCTACAGAGGTTGCACAGGCAGTCCAACTCCTCCAGGATGGCACATCAATACATGCCATTGCCAGAAGGTTTGCTGTGTCTCCCAGCACAGTCTCAAGAGCATGGAGGAGATTCCAAGAGACAGGCAGTTACTCTACGAGAGCTGGACAGAGCCGTAGAAGATCCTTAGCCAATCAGCAGGACCGGTATCTGCTCCTTTGTGCAAGGAGGAACAGGATGAGCACTGCCAGAACCCTACAAAATGACCTCCAGCAGGTCACTGGTGTGAATGTCTCTGACCAAACAATCAGAAACAGACTTCATGAGGGTGGCCTGATGGCCCGACGTCCTCTAGTGGGCCCTGTGCTCACTGCCCGGCACCATAGAGTTCGATTGGCATTTGCCATTGAACACCAGAATTGGCAGGTCCGCCACTGGCACCCTGTGCTTTTCACAGATGAGAACAGGTTCACCCTGAGCACACGTGACAGACGTGAAATGGTCTAGAGAAGCTGTGGAGAACATTATGCTGCCTGTAATATCATTCAGCATGACCGTTTTGGTGGTGGGTCAGTGATGCTGTGGGGAGGCATATCCATGGAGGGACGCACAGACCTCTACAGGCTAGACAATGGCACCCTGACTGCCATTAGGTATCGGGATGAAATCCTTGGACCCACTGTCAGACCCTACACGTTGGTGAATTGGGTCCTGGGTTGCTACTGGTGCACGACAACACCCGGCCTCATGTGCCAAGAGTATGCAGGCAATTCCAGGAGGATGAAGGAATTGATACCAAGGGATGGTGCAAACGTTGTCCAATATTCAGTTATAGTGGCAAAACATCCAATATTCATTGATGTATGACAGAACCAAAGGATGGAGTAATCCCTTTTCCACACACCCCATACCACAATAGTAAGTCTGCACACTCACCCCTCTCTAGATCTTCACGTCATAAGAGGTCTCAACAATGCCTGATGTGAAACACACATGTGGCCTCCCATGTCAGAGAACCCAATCACTAGGTCAGAGAACAGTCACATAAAAGCGGAAATATTTCTAAGCTAAATGTATCATGACACACAATTTCTACATTATAGCCAATGAATAGTTATAATTATATAGAACACAGATCATAGAGACAAACGCAGAAAGTGTTCAGTCCACAGTTTGTAGAAATGAGTTTAGGTTGATCTTTAGCACAAGTGAATCTGTGGTCATTTTAGAAATTTTTCTTATTTGGAACTCCCACAAGTGGTAATTTTTTTTCCCAGCTATTTCAGGAGTAAAGAAGACAGCTGAACTGAGGCTTCATTCACACTATATGTGCAGAAAAACTGATGGAAGAAATGCAGAGACACAAGTTTACATCAGTTTTCATGCGCATTTCAGTGAGTTTTATACACGTTGCAGATTCCTGCACAGAAAAAAAATACGCAAGTGATATTAGTGTTGTGGTTGCTTACATGGCACATAATGATGAAATTGTTTTCTTTGTGCCCTTGCAGAATGCGTGCAGAAAAAGTCACGTCTGTACCATGGCTTGAATGGGGCCTAAAGTGAGAGTAACCTCCATTTTTTCTCACTTTTACCTACAGATGAGCTTATAATAAAGCTTACCTGTAGGTAAATGAATATCTCCTAAACGTGCACCATTTAGGAGATATTCCCATGTTTTGTTGCTGGTAATGTTACTGGCGCATGTGCACTGCACTCTGAATTGAAGGTTCAGTGAATGTGTTGACTGTGACTCTATGCCCGCAAACTCAGTTGAAGATGGAAGCCTTGTCAACAGTGATAACTCACCGCTAGAGGGCTTCTTTTTACAGGTGAAAAAAAAAACAGAATTGTGTGATGCTCTGAAACACACATCAGACCTTCCCCTACCACCAGTTCACTGCAGCTGGATTGAACAGCGGCCTCACAATAAACTGCTGCGTTTTACTGTGCAGCAGCTCTCAGTTTATGTGTGAATGGGCCCTAAGAGCTGACACAACAGAATGGCAGTACCTTATTTTTAAGTAGTGATGTTCTCAGCCTGCTATAGGAAGTACTGTTACAGTATTTCCGGGTAAGAAAGGTTGCACTGGATTAAAAAAAAAAAAAAAAAAAGTTCCTAATACAGCTGTATACAATGAGGCATACTGAACAATTAAATACACTTTAAAGCAGAACTACAGTGCATCTGAGCACCACAATCCAATAACACTATTTAATTTATTTTTAATATTCAAAGCAGATTCGCCCATCTATCCATGTCTCCATGCATTATTTTGCTGAGAAATCACTTTGAGAAACACCCCCTAGCATTTATGGATGTGACCATCTTGAGTAAGGGCAGATGATTGGGGTATAATTGACTTCCTCAAATGCATCTGCTTTTGTATCAGGCATCTGGCAGGCAGGAGGATGTGCTTAGCTGACAAAGGCCCCCTCCCCTTATGAAGACTCCTGGGATGTATGATATAATTTGCCTAGGCCTAGAAACCAGGAGCTAACAGAATAAATGTAAAAAAAAAAAAAAAGTTTTAAAATAGGAAAGTATATCATATTTACTTATCTATGTACTAATGCTAGCAGAATAAAGATCAAAAATAGTCAATGTTCATGTTCTGTATGAGGCAGATAATAAGGGATTTAAGTGGCCTTACCAGCACTTTTACTGTTAGGCTCTAATGGATTAGAAACTTAATATGTTGCTTCAATGTTCCATATGTTTGATTTTCTCTGGTCAATTCCATGTCTTGTGCTCTATCTCTTTCATTTTCATTTGTATTTGTGATCCATTCTTAATATCTCTTGTTTGACATCCCTTATTATGTCTCTACCATAAAAACTGCCTATTATCTGTATGTTGTGCATCTTGTTTTCAATAAAACGTTTATGAAACAGAAAAAAAAAAAAAAGTCAATGTTGATTGAGAGATTGAAGTTCCACTTTAAACACATCTGGAGTATGTAATCTTATACGGTATCTAAGAAGCTAGTGAATATCATTTGGAGGGATGAAGTCCATTTGTGCCATGCGTTGGCTTATACATACATTAAATAGTTGGAGTTTGTGTTTTTTTTGCTTTGTTTGTTTTTTCTCAACCTAATGTTATACATTTTCTTTCATAAAAAGGCAACCCCAGAAAATGTGTTTTGACAATTGTTCGTTTTAACTGTGCTGTTGTATGCAATAACACCACAAGGCAGTTGAGGAGTTGTATAGGGCAAATGTCACCAGAGAGGAAAAAGTATGATTTCAGAAGCCATGCTGTTACTAAACCAAGTACAGAGTTCACGCCCAAGTTCTTTTGATGTTTTGGCAAAATATGAAACTGTACATTTAAGTTCAAACTCCAGCTTTTTATCTTCCAGTGTCTCTTGAGAGGATATAATAGTGGTTGGACGAATAAAAACAACCCCCCCCCCCCCCCCCCCCCCTTCTTTCCTCACAGCATTTTTCTGAGAGTCTGGTAGAGTAACATTTCCCAAAGCAAACCTTCCTCTTCTGACACTGTTTCTTTTGTGAGATTTCAAAGCTTTGTGCCAGTGCCTCCATGTCCTCCAGGGATAAGGTACTGTTATGGCTAATAAGCTGCAATTGTTTCTGCAGGCTGTATTGGTATATTGACTGTGGCATTGCCCTAAAAATTGTTGATGTTTGGATTCCTAAGTGTAATTTACATGTCATTAATTGTGCTCATAGGTCCTAGATGAGATTGCCGAACATGGAATTCGAATCTACCAACTCCCTGATGCTGACTCAGATGAAGATGAGGAGTTTAAAGAGCAGACTCGAGTTCTAAAGGTAAGTAAATGTGGAAAAAAGTCACAATCTAAATCCTACAAATATAGCGAAGGAAGGAGAAATGAGGCCATTGGTCATATCCATCAATATAATTTCAAATTCAAAATAAGACAAATATGATTTCTGTAGAGAACACCATGTCTCTTTAGGCTTTCATAAATCAGAATTCAAAAACTTTGGTTTTGGGGATTACTTATTCTGTCAGTATCTTAGAGACAGCATTCCAATTAAAAAGAATACTGTCTCTTCAAGACAGGATTCCTAAAATTAGTACTGTGATCAACCCCTGTTTTGCTGACGTGATATCCTTTTTAAATGAGGAAATTCTTGGGTATTCAAACTATTGGATTCCAAAGAGAAAACACTTTTAAAGTGCACTTGTTCAGTTTTGAAATGTCAAATTTGCATAGATTTCCTTTGTGCATACAGTGCTCAGCATAAATGAGTACACCCCTTTTGAAAAGTAAGATTTTATTCAATATCTCAATGAACACAAGAACAATTACCAAAATTTTTACAAAATTGAATTATATAGAACATTTGTTTAGCTCATTACATGAAGGTAAGGTTAATAATATATAGTATCTCACAGAAGTGAGTAAACCCCTCACATTTTTGTAAATATTTTATTATATCTTTTGATGCGACAACACTGAAGAAATGACACTTTGCTACAATGTAAAGTAGTGAGTGTACAGCTTGTATAACAGTGTAAATTTGCTGTCCACTCAAAATAACTCAGCACACAGCCATTAATGTCTAAACCGCTGGCAACAAAAGTGAATACACCCCTAAGTGAAAATGTCCAAATTGGGCCCAAAGTGTCAATATTTTGTGTGGGCCACCATTATTTTCCAGCGCTGCCTTAACCCTCTTGGGCATGGAGTTCACCAGAGCTTCACAGGTTGCCACTGGAGTCCTCTTCTACTCCTCCATGACGACATCATTGAGCTGGTGGAGGATAGAGACCTTGCGCTCCTCCACCTTCCGTTTGAAGATGCCCCACAGATGCTCAATAGGGTTTAGGTCTGGAGCCATGCTTGGCCAGTCTATCACCTTTACCCTCAACTTCTTTAACAAGGCAGTGGTCGTCTTGGAGGTTTGTTTAGGGTCGTTATGTTGGAATACTGACCTGCGGCCCAGTCTCCAAAGGGAGGGGATCATGCTCTGCTTCAGTATGTCACAGTACATGTTGGCATTCATGATTCCCTCAATGAACTGTAGCTCCCCAGTGCCGGCAGCACTCATGCAGCCCCAGACCATAACACTCCCACCACCATGCTTGACTGTAGTCAATCAGGTACACACGCACGCACGCTGTTAAGTGCTCTCTCCTCTCCCCTGAAGCCACCACTGGCTGACATAGAGGATCATGTGACCAGAGTGAGCTGAAATTAGGTAGACACACACACACACCCTGTAAAAAGTTGCAGTACTTTGTTGTTCACTCACAGAGCCAGGTACTGCACTCTAGGGGGAGGCAGAGAGCACAGCACACACTCCTTCCTTTCCTTTCACTGCGCTCAGCTATTGTGCAGTCTGACGGCTCCCAGTGCCAATGACAGATCCGGCCTGAGCTCCGAGCCTGCTCAGCAAGACGGCCCTGGGGGACATACTCGCCCCCACCATAATTTCCACTCGCCATTGGCGAGCAAGCAAGTGGAAATTTCACGGCCTTATGTAAGTGACAGAAATGAAGGCTTGTAGTCAAGAGTTTGCTTATTTAAGCTGGCCATACAGTGATAAAATTGTGTTCAGTGTGTGGGCTTCCCAGTTTGACAGGAGTCAGTTGTTTAGTCCTCTTCTATCGAAGGGACATTTTCCATCGATCAGTGGCGGCAGCCAACCAGCTGTGGGTGCTGATCAATGTACCCTGACAGAGGCAAGTGCATTTTAAAATACAATGCCCTGGTGGGGGGTGGTGATCCCTCCATCCATCTCACCATGTATGGCCTAGTTGCAGTTCTAAAGATTTGCTAACAGTGCTGAAAAGCCTTGAGCTAACAGCCCCCCATCCAAGCGCACCCCACCCACTTTTCTCCATTTTATTTTCTCAGTGGAATCACTTCTGAAGAGAATGGAATGGAAAGACTTGGCTGAGAGCAACTGCACGTTAGCGTTAGTTGATGCTTTTAGTACCTTTTGTAATACGTTTTGTAATGTTCAGCCTTTAACCAGAGAGAGTGCATTCAAGCCAGCTGCAATTTTTACTGCATTATAAATACGGTGAATATAAACCTCAGCGCACATGTTACAACCTATTTGTACAATCTTTTCTTTATCTACCGACAACTATGTAGTGCAAGGGCCCACCTGATTGGATCCAAATTAATTGAATTGCTTAGATAGGTCATCTAAAAATCTAAAGGAGGGACCGTAAAGAGATTGAGAACAGTTTTTGTACAGTTATGTGCTAAATTGTATGGTAAGCTTTAAGCAGTCTATAGATTATGTAGTTTTCTTCCTTCCACCAGGGGTGGAAGGAAAGAAAATTGCCTGATTTCCCCATCAACACAGTCTGTTGATGGGGGATTCCCTGCTACAGCGCTATTTGCTCTGCAAGAGAGAGGCTTTTCCTGCCAGCAGAATACAGTGATTACTGCTGGTGGCTATAGCCGCTGACAGTGATCACATGCAAACAAATACGACAGGCTGGTTGGCTGATAGACAATCAGTCTGCCCATAAATGGATCGAATCTCAGCTTGTCCCCGCTGAACCAGACGAGTTTTGACCCAATCATGGCCAATTTGACAGAGACCTAAATTTCCCTTTAAAATAATCCCTCTAAATAATGGCATCAAAAGAGACTTGCACACATACAAACTCTGGCCAGTGATCTTTTATTATCGGTTTAATATGCTATACAGTGATCTGGAAATATGTTTCTTTTAGGCCAGCATCCCTTTTGCAGTCATTGGTTCAAATCAGCTTATTGAGGTGAAAGGAAAGAAAATCCGTGGACGGTTGTACCCTTGGGGTGTTGTGGAAGTGGAGAATCCAGAACACAACGACTTCTTGAAACTTCGCACCATGCTGGTGTAAGTGCTGTATGTTGGCTGCATGTGATTAGGTTGCTAAGACTTTGAAAAGTCTTTTCCAAATCTCGGAAAATTATTTGCCAGAAATCCATAAATGCTTTTTTTCACCAGATACCCTTATCCATACAGTATATGAACATTTGTATTCTACAAGTATGCATGATTTGTAAATGTGATGCTGCCTACATCTCTTAATTAGTTGGTAGAGACATTTTCTCTCGTGATAAATTTGCTAAATTTCAGATATGGCTGATAGGCTCATATACCTTAAAGTGGTTTTAAACCCAAAATGAAACATTTATTCTATTACAGCTTACAAGTTCTTAGATATCTTGGCTGTATTTGTTTTCTTTTAGGCTTTTTTTCCTTTGTTTTTCACTTGGTGATCTGGACAGTATGTCAGTTGTTTTTCAGCAGAACAAGCTGTCATGCTGATGTAGCAGTTAGAACGTTGAGACAAACCATTTATAACTGACAGGGGTGCTTACAATGATCAGCTTTTATTTATGGAAAACCTTTATCCCAAAAGGAAAACAACTGTTTGCTGTAACTACTTATAAAGTTTCAGCTGTTCAGCTTCAGTTAGTGCATCTAAATCTGGTAGTGCATCTAGCATTTCTCCTTCCACCTAGATCCTAGAATAACAATCCTACTGTCCAAAGGTGCCCCTGTCCTCCTTCAGGCACTCTAGTGGTGTGTTACTGGCCAGATCCCCAGGTGAAATCAGAGGGGAAAAAAAACAAAAAATGCTATTTAGCTGCAATATATAACATTTTTGGTTTTAGATTTATTACCATTTAAATGTTTCTAATGCAATGTGGCTTTGTTTTTACTGGTCAGCTTTAGTCTCCTCTGTACTTAAAGTGGAATTAAACTAAAAAACTTTTTTAAACCTCTGACAAGTAGGGGTTTTATGACAGAAAGACTTTAATGGTCTCTTCTGTCATAAATACTTCTCCTTGCCTGTCATTAGTAATGTGCATTGACCCACTTATGCACAGCTCAGAGTACATTTATGGCACCCATTATGAAGTGACTCGGGTGTGCATGCATGAAAGTGACATCACCGTGACCTGGCCATTCATGCACGCAAACCCAGAAGGAAGAGCGGGAGAAGATGGTAACTGCCATGGCCAGCTGGAGCATTAATACTGCAGCGCTGGAGGGCTTCGTTTGACAGGTAAGCCTTCCATCATGTGCTAATATGCTGTGCATACTAGAGCATTTTGGCATAATCCTCCTGAAGGCCCATTTAAAAAATATATACAGTATATAGCAGAGTTTAATTCAGCTTTAAATCAGTGATAATTATGCTTTAAAGCATGGTGTAGTAATGACCTTTGTGATAAAGTAATTTGTCCTCAGGTCTTTCTTTATAAAATATGTTGGTAATGAATATAAAAGGAGTATGTTGCTCTTTGGCTGGTAAAAGGGTAAATTCTTGACTATGGTAAGTATAGATAATTTACATATCACACTGAAGTTGCATGCTTTTGTACGACTTACACCTGCACATTTTTATACCTTCCAAGACTGCTTATATGTCAGGAATGGAGATAATAGTGGTCAATGGCAAAGCATAAGAGATTAATTGAAGCAGAGTTGTTACAATCTTCACTTGAGCTAATTCAGCTCTGATAACCTGTGTTCATCTGGCAGTCTTCCCCTTCACATATTTCATCTAAAAGAAACATAGTGTGTTATCATGGCTGGGATTATGATAGCAGACATAGCTTGGTGTTCAGTTTTCATTAATGATGGGTAATTTTGAATTCTTCATTGAAATGATAAAAGAAGGATAAAGCAAGTAGACAGGTTTGAAATGTAAATATTTAAAACTACGAATCAACTTGAGAAAGGTAAATCATAAAGCTGGTTAGTATACATAAATGAAGCAAGAGAAGGCTCCAACAGAAATCTTTGGTGTCAGTTTATGTAGATGAAAACAATGGACATTACTTGAGATGTTTCACTCTGTCCAATCAAACTCAGCACCGATCTTCCCATGCTCATACATGAGAGGTTGTCTTCTAACCTGTCTATATATTGGGTGATGGTCATCTCATATGTGGCCAGCTTTACTAAGTTTGAATTTATTAGGGCCCTGTCAGCACAGGTTCAGTTGTATGTGAAACATACTTGCAAAATGTAGACTGCATATACTTACCTTTCCAGCAGCCTATTTCTTGAAAAGCTGCCTATTCACCGCTTACCATCGGATGGGTTGAATACCTGTTTCCCTTACTGCACGCTGTTGTCCTGTAGTGATGAACGAGCCATCAGTTGGAACCACATTGAGCAGGGGAGGACCAGATTATACACACACAGCACAAGCAAAATTACAGCTAGAAACTGGTAGATCACTTTTAGTGCCTACTCTACTCTCGTCATATCAAGTTTTTGGGGACCCTTCTTTTTGGTCACTATGTTTATTTTCAGCTTTTGGGAAAAAAGTTCTATACAAATTTGTTTCTAATTTATTAAGGGATATAGAGATCTTCCTTGGATTATACTGTCTCTAAGGATAGAATATGTCCAAAGAAGAAAAACTGTAGGCTAACCCAGGATAACCCCCTCCTACTTCCAGTATGCCTTAGTTTTTCACCATTTTTTGCTAGTGTTTTTAGTAGGATGGATGGATATTTTCAGCTTTGCTGTCGTAAAGCCTAACCTATTGTATTTTTTTTTCAAGCAAATATTTATCCTCTTTCATTTCTTTTTTTCAATCAAGGCTTCTCTTTAAACACCTGATGGTGGTGTTCTTTTCCAATCGGCACCTATCTGGCATGGTTGTCCTGGCTTTTGGAAAATACTGCATATGGACCTTGATGTACTAGAGGTTGCAGGGCAAGCCTAGAAATGACCATTGGGCACTGGGTTCTGTGGGGGGGGGGGGGAACCTTTCCAGACTCTGTTCTGTTAAAAGCAGAGCTCTTTCCGGGTCCTGAGCCTCTGGCATTGCCTCTTTGCTTGACTTGTCTCTGAAGACTCACTTAATGAGTCTTACAGCCAAGCACCAGCTGGTCCCTCAGTTTTGCTGGTCACTGAGTGCCATTATTCCCTTGGAAGTGGTTAATGCTTTGGAACTGAGTGTTGGCAACATCCTCTGATTGTAGTGTCAAGCGTTCAACACTCCTTCAGGGCATACAGAGTTCAGGAAGCATCTCCATACTGCTGCTTCTGTTGCAGAGAGTGACATGAAACTTTTATCTTTTCTTGCCGCCAACCTACATTGACTTTGGTTACTTCTGGCCATTGGACTTTCTGGTCATTGACCCCTCACTTGCTAGCTGCTCTACAGATTTTGTTATTACCTGAGGCCTTGCCTCTCTCCTGAGCCTTTCTGTTACTTATCTGTTGCAACTGGTCAGAGAGTGCTTGCAGTGCACCCACTGATGTGGGTTGCTGCAGTATGCAGTCATTTTCTCTCCTACTGTTAGTGTTTCCCAGTGTCCTCCCTGGCTTCATTGAGTGTAGCTGTCTTTTCACCCCTCTTGGCTGAGGTTTTTTTCTACAGTCATACAGGATTTTATGACCAATATTACTCCAGTATTTACTGACTGTGATCTCCCTCCTGTGCCATTTCCCACACATTATATACAGTTAGGTCCATATATATTTGGACACAGGCACAATTTTAGATTTTTTTTCAGGTATTTACCAAAACATATTCAAGCTATAGTTATATAATGATATGGGCTGAAAGTGCACACTCTTGGGTTTAATTTGAGGGTATGTACATCCAAATTGGAGGAAGGGTTTAGGAATTACAGCTCTTAAGAGTAGCCATCCCCCTTTTTCGAGGGACCAAAAGTAATTGGACAATTGAATCAAAAGCTGTTCATCAATTAAGCAGGTAGAAGGTCTGGAGTTGATTCTAAGTGTGGTATTTGCATTTGGAAACTATTGCTATGAACCTACATCATGCGTTCAAAGGAGCTGTCCATGAAAGTGAAACAGACCTTTGTAAGGCTTCACAAACTAAACAAATATATCAGAGAGATAGCTGCAACATTAGGAGTGGCCAATCAACAGTTTGGTACATTCTGAGGAAAGAAGAACACACTGGTGAGCTTAGCAACATAAAAAGGCATGGACATCCATAGAAGACCACACTGGTGGATGATCGCAGGATTTTCTCTATGGTAAACAAAAACCCATTCACAACATCCAGACAAGTGAAGGACACTCTCCAGGAGATGGGCATATCATTGTCAAAGTCTACAATCAAGAGAAGACTTCAAGAGAGCAAATACAGAGGGTTCACCACAAGGTGCAAAACATCATAAGTCTGAGGAATAGAAAAGCCAGATTAGACTTTGCCAAAAAAAAATCTAAAAAAGCCAGACCAGTTCTGGAAAAGCCTTCTTTGGACAGATGAAACTAAGATTAATCTGTACCAGAATGAGGGGAAGAAAAAAGTGCATTATGAGCTGTTCCAAGCCTTCTCCACAAAGCACACAACATCATCTGTGAAACATGGTGGAGGCAGTGTGATGACTTAGGCATGCATGGATTGCACTATCACTGGGTCATTGGTGTTTATTGATGATGTGACAGAAGACAGAAGCAGCCGGATGAATTCTGCAGTGTTTAGAGATATACTGTCAGCCCAGATTCAGCCAAATGCAGCAAAGTTGATTGGACGGCACTTCACAGTACAGATGGACAATGATCCAAAACACACTGCAAAAGCAGCTCAGGCGCTTTTAAAGGAAAACAAGTGGAATATTCTGCAATGGCCGAGTCAATCACCTGATCTCCACCCAATAGAGTATGCATTTCACTTGCTGAAGGCAAAACTGAAGGCAGAAAGTCCCACTAACAAAGAACAACTGAAGATAGCTGCATTTAGAGCCTGGCAAAGCATCAGAAAGGAGGAAACCCAGTCTCTGGTACTGTTCATGGGTTCCAGACTTCAGGCAGTCATTGCCAGTAAAGGATTCTCAACAAAATATTTCAAATGAACATTTTATTTATGATTATATTCAATTGTCCAA